GAAAATTTGGTGCTGAAATGGGTTCATCTGTTTTCAAGAATGAAGTTGACAGGAAGGAGAACACATTTTCACCCTTGCATCAAAAGACTGTCTGGACGTGGAGTTTGGAAGTGACTGACAACACAGGCTAGGCGTGTAGCTTGCTTGCCCATAGAGTGTGTAGAGTGTGTCATGGAGTGTGTAGATAAGATCTAGGAAGGAGCTAAACATTTCACATTTTTCATATTCCTTTCGTAAAATAAATTTTTTTTAAAAACCTGCTATGTATAAACATTTAATTTTTTAAAAAATCATTAAAATATGTTCAGAGAATATATAGGGTTACATCAATACTGGAAAAAGAAAGGAAATAACCGAGCAATCTTATGTTTCTTCCTGTAGATGTGTACAACTGACAGATTCTTTTGTAACATGATCAGACAGTATTTTAAAATTTTTTTGACCTCACTCTCTTCAGTGTTAGTATTTGTCAGTGCAACATGAGGCTGTGAACAATCTGAGATCCAAGGCATCCCACCTCATCGGCTGTAGTTGCTGGATGGTATCCAGTGATCAGGACTCAGCTTAGCAAATCCCACGAGAAAGGACAGACTTTAGTCCTTGGTCACAGGTGCCACACCACGCCTCAGTGCTTGCCACCTCTGCCATCTCGGGGCACTCAGCAAAAAAATGCATGTGCCTTCTCAAGGCTAAAAAGAAACGCAAAGATGCACTTTTGCTAAAGTTTCTGAAATACTCTTGTATTCTTTATTTGTATACATATATGTGTGTTTGTGTACACGTGTGTACCTTGTCAGAGGCATGCACAGTCTATTGGATGACAAGCAGACCCCGGTGGTCCTGGCTGCTTTGCCCAGAACCAGTGGCACAGTCTCCACTCCAGGCAGCAGATCTCTAGAAATTGCTGAGGGAGAGTACGTCATTCTGCCTGCTTTTTCCATTTTACACAGTGTGTGAAAGATGGGCAAACCTGATTATAGATGGCTCTACATTTTCCAAGTAGGTCTTGGATTTTCTGGAAGAGGTAGAACAACTTAGGTTGAGTAGAAAAGATGTCAAATACAATGGTGGTGACTCACCTCATAACTGCATCTTGCCGATGGCCTCACACCTTGTGAACTTTTTTTTAATTTATCTTTTCATGGCTGGCCACTCATCTGTCATGTTGACAGGCAATGGCCTGCTGAGAACACTAGCTACTGTTATGGGATTACTGAGACCAAACAGAAAGTGGAAAAAATAGCAAGAAATACAACGCTGCTAGTCTGTCTCTAAACCAGGTAGCTGGATAAATGGTCGTTGTGAATCCGTTTGTGCATAGAAATACAGCTATTCTGTTGGTATTAGGCAACTTGATCTACTTCAGCTTCAAAGAAGAGCCTAAAGCAAAAAGATATATTTCGTTATAGGTGAGGAGGAAATAGATGGTCACAGGCTGTTGGCTATCACTGAACTGAGTGTACTGATTCAGAGGAAATGTCGATGTATGGAGAGGAGCACAGAGGAGATGGGAGCCATTCGTCTACCTGGATCTAGCAACACTTTCAGTTATGAAAACACACCCAACTATTTGTTTCAGAAGATCTTAAATGCCCTGTGTTAGTGTTTAGTGGAAACACGTCAGGGTTAAGGGTTTCCCTTGGCTGTCCTCTTGTGAAATGTGGAATCTGAAAATCAACCAGAAAAGATCTTTTTGGGAAGGTGAGTTATGTGAGGACTGTCTGTCAGGCTTAACTTATAGCAGAGGTTAAGATGAAGTTTTCTGGAAAACTTACAGATAAAGGAATCTGTGTCTTTGTCTGACAGAGGAGAGTCTTGTAAAGAATTCACTCGAGTCTTCACCATAAGGGTAAATCTCAATTTTCTCATTTGAGGAAAGGCATAGGTAGCACTTCTGGGTGGGCAAAAGTAGGTTGCAGTGATAGAAACAGCTGCAGGCAGAGGCGAAGCCAATGTGTGAGGGTAACCCTGAAAATTGAAGGTGTTGTGGAAGATGGCGGTAAAGAGTTTTCGTTATGATTGAATATTAATTAGTGACATGGCTATTAATGATGACAGTAATTAACAGAGGAAGGAAAGACTTGTCATTGTCCCGAGGGTGAGTAATCAGTCTTGGCAGGTGATAAATAATGGTTCAGCAAACTCAGCAGAAAGATAATCTGTCCGCCTCAGGACAACTGGAGAACAGCTATAACATCTTCCAGGCTCTTGGCAACATTCAGGAGTGACTTCATGTTTTTAACAGAGACAAATTAAAATCCCTGATCTCAAGTGCTGCTTATATTCCAGAGTGGCTGATCACAGGAGTTCTGGTTGATTTGGTGCCTTCAGTTTACTTGCCCCTTTAAACCTTTCTTTTTTAATCTTCATAACAGGGGGAAGAAAGACTGGGGAGACAGCTTTCAACATTACTTGAATTTTTCATTGTAGTTTGATGAAAATTGAATAGATTCCTCAAAAGAGGCCTAGAGCTGGGGACATGATTATTCTGTGTAAAAATGGAGTGGGCCTTAATCCTGCCTTAAGTATTCCTGTATAGCTGGAAAGGGGTCATGCAGAACGCATGCAGGATGCTTTGCTCCCTTGAGCAAAGCAATGCGCTGCTGCTCTAGATGATTTTCAGGTATCAGCTGTCATGTCACTTGGCACTCTTAGATGCCTAAGGATCACTGCACACCTGTAATCTGAGACCAAAATCAGGAGAAATAGTGAACTTTTTCGTTTGGGGGATCAACAGAAAAACCAAGAAGGATTCTGGTTTAGCTTGAACCAAGACAGCATTTAGTGAGGTTTGGTTTTATTTCTAACAATACTGAATCACTTCAGTTTGAGTCTTCTTGAAATGGTTTTCTAACCTCAAATGTTTTGTTCTATCTTTATGATATTTTTGTTTTGTAAAAGGCAAAAGGGAACATCCATGTTTATAAAATAGAATATTTTATTAACAAACTTGTCAAAACAACAGTTACTGACTCTAAACAATTTCCCTATATGTTATTCAGCTAGCACTATTTGCTAGATGTATTTTCATCTAGCAGGTGGTTTTGGACCCCTTGGACATCTTTTTCTGAATAAATTGACTATTCACCAAAAAAATGATGTGACTTTAGGATGCACGTGGCAGGCTGGTTTCAGTAGAGACAGGAAAGTACTGGCACCATTGCGAGAGGCATTGGTCTGATGTTCTGCAAGGCACTACCTGCAGTTCTGGTGACCCCAGGGCGAGGAAATGGAACTTATATTTGAAAAGTTGCTGAATGGTAAAGTAGAGGGAGAGACCATCTTAAGAGGATGTTAAAAGAGTTTGGTTGGTTTAGTGAAATGGAGGTACAAAGACAATGTGTCAGCCCTCTGTAGAAACACTCAGGATAAACTATCAAGGAAGAAGAATAATTATTTCTGTTAAATAATGATACAGGTAGGATATAAAATGCATATAAATTGCACATTAATAAACTTAGGCTGGGAAGTTACAAGAAAAGTTCCATCTGTCGGAAAAAAAAGAAAAAAAAATGTTCTGGAACAACTTTGCAAATAGGATAGTGGCAACTGAAATTGCTCCTAGGTGCAGCTGGGAGGTGTGGAGAGTGACTATAGAGCTGAGAACGTAAGCTTGTGAGACTGGTCCTTTAGTGTCTGGTTCATTGATACCTTCAAGGCAGATTGAGACAGTGCCCGGCTGCTGCTTGTTGATCCCTTCGGTTTGCCCAGTATTTAAGTGAAAGCAGATGCTTCCCGGATCTTCAGGAGCTCTGCTGATTGCCTGCAGGGGACAAGTAAGTGGTTTGACTTGCCTTGGGTGGAGGATGAGGGAGGTCCGTATTCCTGCTTGCTGCTGGAGCCGGACTGAAGAGGGTTTACTGGTGCTCCTTGAGGAGTTGGGCGTCAACTTGCATTGTCAGGGGGAATGGGAGGTGCCGTCCTCTTCTGCATGGGGTATAGCCCACATTTCTCATGGGAATTTCACCTGTGTTGAAGAGTCACTCAGACCTGCAGGTATTGCAGGGACCTGGGATGCTCGCAGTGCCTGTTGTCTCTCTCTGTGGTGCATCGTAATTGTGACTCCTGGCCTTTGTTGTATTTAAGGTTTTCTGAGGGTGTGCGGATGCTCTGGGCCAGTGGGAAGTAAAGTGTCCTTCAGACTTTTCTGGAACAGGCAACACGTGGGTTACGCTGTTTCTTGAAGTACCTACCACGTCTGAACTCAGAAGTGCTCCATGCAAATAAGATCCTCCAGGGTTTGTTTAGTAAGCATGAACCATACAGCTGATCAGTTCTTTTTTGTATACTGTCTTCAACTGATATATCACAAAGCATGGCACTAAGTATTACCGGGGCTATTAACCTACTGTAAATGAATGCAAATATTTCTCAACAAATTGACTGTCCACTGAGAAAGTCTTGGTGTTATGTCTGCATCCAGACATGACACCGTTAGGTTGTGCTGCACACTGCCGTAGCTGGGCACGGACTTGCTAAATCGGCTCCAAGGGCCTTTGCTGATTGCCTTTGAATTTGGACAAGTCAAGTTAGCTGACTTGTGTATGTCATTATGTTTCATTTTAAGCTTAACTTTCTGAGTATGGAGTTTAACTAAATTTTGGTGCCCTGTCATGTATTTTGATAAAAAAGGCCTTAGCTTCTACTGAACAGCGACAAGTTTTCTGTTTCTATGATTTCCACGCGAGCAAGAGAGAGGTGGTATACATGCAGAGGATCAATCCTAGGGATCTTTATGCCGTTTATAAGATAGCAGCAACCTTTGTACTACTTGATGGGCCCTGAAAACCTAATAAACTACCTGATGGGCCTTAAAGACTCATTGTTCTGCTTCTGTCCACCATCCTGCTGCTGCGATCACTAGCAGGTGACAGCTCAACGGCGGCTTTGTTACAGGGACACTGAATACCGCTTCCTTCTCCGAGACATTACTTGTCTTTGACATAAGTGAGACTTTCCTCTGTCTTTTTTTAACTGCTAACTTGATTCTGTACTTTTAGGTTATTGCCTCTGACATTACAGGTGCAAGGTGCCAGTACATGCTCCTTCGTCTCCTTGCTAGCTAATGCTTGCAGAAATGTGACTCCCTGTAAGTTGAGGTGAGAGAGAAGCAACCGGGAGAGAAAAAGTTACGTGGAACTATTAGAGTAATATCTGACTTAAAGTCCATCAAGTCTCCTACGACACAGAATACTTCTTGGGACTTGGTACCTGCCAATAACTATATAATTACAGTGTGGCACAAGAAGGAAAAACATTCTGAAACCTCAGTGGAAATAAAAAGGAAAATGGAATAAAATTCATGTCAGTTCTATTGTATCTGTCTCAATGTTATCTCTGTCTAGGGCTCTCAAATCCTGTGGTCTCAGTGTTAAATGCTTTCTTCACTTTTTTTTTTTGTTAAGGTGCTGATATTGTGCAGTGGCTTATGAAGAACCTCAGCATTGAGGATCCAGGTAAGGTGACCACAGCTGGGGAGGAACAGATACTCCATCTGTATTGTGTGTGCCATTAGACAGTAGACACTGTTTTACTGCGGTCTAAAATACCAGTAGAACAACAAGGTTGATTTAAGCATTGGAGGGAAGGAGGAGGGCAAGAGATAAAAATCAACATCTTAATTAAGTCTAACGCCTTACACTGCGACATGCAGGAAGTACTTGTAGGAGTCTAAGCCTGTCTGTGAAATTGTTGCTACCTAAGAAAGACTAATTGATTTTAAGGTTGTTCCCAGACTCAGAAAGGAAGTTGGTGGATGTGTGGTTAAGCAGTCGAATGCAGTGGCAGGTTTTCATGATGTGGAGAAAGGTAGCCATGACTGACAGGACATACTGGTCGAGGATGACACAGGCTCCATTGTGGGATCAGATGATGGCTGCAAATCTATCACAGCAGATAGATAAATGGATAATCAGCCATAAACACTGATCAGTACATGGACACAAGCTAAATAGTTCAGTTTCAAAATTGTTTTGGCACAGTTAAGAACTATTGGGAAAAGAGGAAGAAAAGATCTACAGGTCCAGAGGTTTCTTTTCCTTTTCTGGGAAGGGAAGAAAATCCAGCATCTCACTTCCCCGATTGTTTCTGCTGCCTACTGTCACCATGTAAAAGCAGAGATAGAGGCAAAGTTGTCTCACCCGGTACACACATCCCTTCTCATGAGTCTAGTCAAGTCCCAACTCTGACTTTCAGTTGCAGATAATAGCTTTATTATCTACCTGGGGGTGCATGAGCAGCTGACGTATGTATTGCAACTCTGAGAAAGTTGGTGCAACTTTTGACAGCTGGCGTTGGTTGAAAATCTGTGCAGATGTGCCTCTGCGCTGGTGAAGGTTGCCCTGGCAGTGCCAGGGTATGTACTCCCCTTGGCCTCTGCACCGTTTCCTCTAACGAATGGCAATGCTACAGTGTCAGGATTTGTCTTTATGAAGAAACGTGCTGCTAACGACCTGGTGTTGCAGGTGTTTGTCAGATTTGGTAGAGGCAAGTGGGATTCATTGATGGAACAGGCTTTTTGTCAGCTCTCACTTGTGGTGGGTAATGTGCTTTGAAACGAATTTCAGACTCCAGAGATGAACTGGTGTGTGACATTTTGTAAACACAAAACCAGCAGGTTAAACGTTTGACCAGTGTTTCATCTGTACTGTAAGGCTGATTTCTGCTCTCTTGCTTCACATGGTTTGGTTGGAAGGTGTAAGGAAGCGGTGCGGTTGCAGAGAGGCGTGTGTGCACCAGGTCTTCACGAGAGTCCTCGCCAGAGCCACTGCTGAAAGCAGAGGAGTGTGCAGTGCACATCTTCCTGACACATCCCTCCTGTTTTCTCTCTTTCACAGGGGAAGCAATACACTTGGGAAGTCTTATTGCCGCACAGGGTTATGTCTTTCCAATCTCAGATCATGTCCTTACCCTGAAAGATGATGGGACATTCTATCGTTTTCAGGTTGGTGAGCCCTCTGCCTCCCTTGTGACCCTTTCTACTGTCCCTGCAGTACTACTGCTGAAAACACCTGCTCTCTCCCTAAGCACCCATTAGGTCTATGAAGCCAGGGATTGAGACTGTCTTAGTAGAGGCCTTAGAAAGTTATGAAGTCCCTTCAGAAAAATCTGCTTTGGAATCATAAATTGATCTCTTCTACTTTCTAACCCACAGTTTTTACATAAATGAATGGATATGTCCTGTGATTATTTTTGATATGTGATTTCAAGGCTGTTGTGCTCAGATTTGAACTAAACCAGAAGAAAGAAAACGGCTCTCAGGTTCTAATGGTGGCACAGAATTGACTAACCACCCTCCTGTGCATAATGGACCAGGGCAAACTTTGGAGTTGGACATTCAAGCTCTGATACAGCAGAAAATTCAAATGTTTATCCTCTCTTGGTTACAGATTGGTGTGGGACGGGGCAAGCTTCAGGCTTTGAATTTTTTACAAAGGATGTATAACCTTGGCAGTCACCTAAGCTTGGGAGATCTCTATCCCTCAGTGTCCCTGTGCCTTGAGATGTGTTGAATTTTTAAAGCATCCTGCGCTTGAGTTCCATGCCCTGTCTAAAATCTGCTGCTGTCAACTTCCTAGATAACTGGGTGCTTGTGCTGCAACAACTCCTTTTGGACAGAATGTGTAACTTTAAAAGAAACAGTAAGTTCAAACCTGGAGTCCTACTGCCTAATCCTGCTGGCTGAATTTGTGTTTTTCTGTTACATGATCCCAGCCAGCTCCCTTATTTTTACGGCGACCTCTCATCTGTTCACCCTCCTGTTCCTTCTTTACTTTTTTTCCCTCTTTTTTGGTTTTTATTTGAAAAGGCTGTTCTCTTTGCATCTGATGTTGCTGCTGCTCGTGCTCACTGTCCTACTGCTACTGTGGTATTGTGTTATCGTATGAGACCGATGGCACAGTGAGAGCCCAGGAGATCACAGACCTCTTTTTATCTCACCCCACCTTCTGGTTACCTGGCACCATTTAGACTAAGATTTTTTTGTTACAATTCCCTTGCTTTTCTGAAAGTGCTGCTCCTCGTGTTGTGGAGGACTTGACAGAAGGAGGGATAATACTGATTTCCCATTTAGTTGTATTTTTCTCTATTTTAAAAGAATGACGCCATAAGAAGTTGTCCTGTGCAGCTCTTGGGACCTAGATTTCAATATAATTTAATTTCTTTTCCTAATTTTAAGTCTATGTAAACCACATCATCAAATTACCTTGACTGCTTATTGACTATTCTTTCCCTTACCTTTTCCTACAACTTTTGCTTATTCTTTGCATGTTGTCATTTCCTGCAGCAGTTCTCCTCAGCCTTTTTCTGCAAAAATAACCTGATAGAATCATGTTTCTTTTCCATTACTCTCTTCTTGCCACTTTCTACCTCACTATCAGTCCCTTTTTTAACAGTAGTTCATCATCTTGTGAAGTTCATAAGATATGTGTCAGCAAGGAGCTTTGATCCCTCCATCTTTTCTCACTGTACTTTGGTGCAAGGAATAGTCTGCGTGTAACGTCCTACACCCATTTGTGGCATTGCATCAGTAATGCAAAACAGTGTTCTGTAACTTGTGTGATCACAGGGACATTATTTTTCATTCATGTTAAAACTGAAATACAGCCACATGTAGTAATATCTTGTAATTAATTGTAGCAACTGTGATATGCAGAGCTGGATGGAAAACAAAAGCAGTAAGCTTCGCAGGACTTCTGCTTTCAGAACGACTGCAATCAGCTGAGTTTTGACCTCTGCCATCTGTTGTATTTAAAAAATAAATTGGTTTGTAGGCTGCCAACCACACTGGTAGCTGCTCAAACAAGCAAGTGGTGTGTGGCATGTATAAATGATCATGAGGTTTCTCATGCTCAAAAAAATTCAGGGTGCCTGTGAATTTCTGGGGAAAGAGGAGGTTCTGAGGATGGAGGGTAAGAGGTCCACATTCAGATGAGCTGGCAACAGTGTCTGAAATGTCATCAGGACAATGGACATCCTCCTCAGGAGATGCTTGTATTGCAGCATCTGTATTTACCTGCAGTGAGGAATGTTAAAGGTGATACCTTCTTGGAAAAACAGCCTCACTTTTACTGAGATCTGTAGCAGTGTTTCCCCTGAGGGCAGAGACTGGACCATAGACTTTGTGATTCTTCTTTTTGTATTTGTAATGTTTTTCTGCACCTGAATTGTTTTTCATCTCTTAAATTACAAAAATGCATATGTTGTTTCTTAGGCACCATACTTTTGGCCTTCAAACTGCTGGGAACCAGAAAACACAGATTATGGTGAGAATATGTTTATTTCATTGTAGAAAGTTAGTACAGAAAGATTGTGATGGAAAAAAATGTCCTTAAAATAATTATTGTTGGCCGTCTAAACCCTTCATCAGCAGAGTTTCTTGTCAGACTGCAGAATCAGAGGCAGATATGTGCCCATCTCAAATACATGAAGTGGAATCCAGGGGTGTCTCAAGCCCGTGGAGCAGTAGCCAGTTGAGTCCAGTAGGGCCAGGGTTTTACCTACCATTACCTTCATTCTTCCATAGCTCTGTTCATTTTGGCAGGATTTATGGCAAGCAGAATACTGCTCCTTGGGAATCTTAAATAATACCAATATTGCTTTTGTGGGAGAACATTCTCTGATCTGTAGCTGAATCTGATACGTTGATCAATAAAAAGTTACCTCATCTGGGCACTCATCTGGCAGATCAATAAACCACTATATAACTGATGGCAACCCACAGTTAAAGTTCTTTGATATATTACATCAGACTTATTTTTCCCATTTCTTTAAGATTACTAGATGATAGCTGGTAAAAAAAGAGAAGACTGAGCGTGGTTTATGAGCTAATAAACTGCAACATGGTGTGTTAAACATGTGAGTGCCTGCAGACAGTGATAATACATAAAGAAAATATGTCAGTGTTGTTATCTTTAGCTGTCTGCATGCAGTATTGCTGTCTCTTCCAGAACTGCACTTCTTTCACAGTTAAATGATAAAATCTATTGTATCCTGGTGTGGCATTGGAAGAGGAAGTGAATCCATGTGTGCGCTCATAAAACAGGAGCTTCTGGAAGTCCTTCTTTTGAAATATCTCATAATCTAAGATCAGTTTAGAACTCCTCCCTGAATAATCAAGTTGTTTTTTTTCTTTCCCGCACAATAATTACTCATCATATGAATACTGGAAATCATTTGCTGGGGTGGAGAAGTAGCCTGCAATGGTGTCTGTCATGTGATAGTTCATTTGCAGTCCGCATCTGCAGGGAAGCTAGCACAGACTTATGTGTTTATCCCAGTGAGGGAACTGCTTAGGGGAGAACATGATGCTGTTCATTATATGCAAAATAATTTCCAGATTTTACAGTCACCATATATAACTGTCTGAACTGTGCCAAATACGTATTCTGTAAATATCAGAATAATAATCGGAAGATTAAGTTCTGTTTTTTCCTATTGTATCCGATAAATGACTGCTTTCGCAGTCAGATTAGTGTGCTGCAGGGGCATTGAGTGGAGCAGTATACCTCAAAATAAAGCGCTATATGAGCTGGCCCACAGCTGGACAAGCTGCAGCTGCGTTAGCACTGAGCCCTGTAGTGACAGATTTTCATCTGTCCCAGAAATCTCTAACATATGCTTATAATCAGTCTTTGCATATCAGAGGTCTGTACGGATGGAGTCTTCCCAGGAATTAATCCCAAACTAGCAGTAGACCCAAATAAAACTGAAATCCCAGCAGCACTTCATACTTTTTTTTTATTTGCATGAATCCACTCACAGGACAGGAACTAACTTGCTAATGGCAGATCACTGCCTAGCATGAAGAAGTACTGTGAGATGACTGACTCTCACTTTACTTGGTGTTGTAAATGGCTTACAGAGGAGACTGCCCTTGAGATGGATAACTGTACATGAACTAATCAGCTCTGATTACCATGCATAATACTGGCTAATGATATGAATGTTAGAACTGTAGGAATAGCATATAATAGAATTACATGAGTAGCACTGTTTTTTATATCTTCAATAGAAGAATAGGTTTCCAGTGAAAAACATCCATGAAGGTGTCAGAAAATTGTATTTACTGGCAAACCAAAACCCCATGGTTTTTAAAGAAAAACTGAAATTCTCTGAAAAAGATTTATTGCAGTTTTCTGTAGATGATGCTTTGCCTTCTGCCCTGCTCCAGTTTGGTGTGCTGTTGGACTATAAGTACCTGGCCCTGCAGCATGAGAGAGCAAAACGCAAGGAAGCTATAAAATTCACATCTAGATTTGTCCCAAAATGAGAGTACTGGACCTCTATTATGTAGTTCAGACCTGACTGTATACCCATGGTGTGCTGGGGACCTTGTGTTTTAGGCAATGAGGTGAGCTAGCAGGTCCGACTGAGGCTTTCCTAGAAGGCAGCCTGGGGACTGATTTGGTGTTGTGCATTGGGCTCATCTTGACCCTCAGAATCCCAGACCACATTAGTTTCTGCAGCGTCTGCCTATGGTGAAATGTGAGAAGGCTTTTCTTAACCGTTTGTAATGCGTAGAATAAGTGGATGGAGCATACGAAAAAATGTTCAGATCGTACCTTTAAGATCTGGCTCATATTTCTGTGTTCATTTCAATATCTTGATTTTTTTTTTTTATTTTTTTCAAACAAAAGGGATAAAAGAAGTGCAGGGCTGCTCACTTTGACAGGCATATTTCCAAAGTGCTGAGGGGAACAGGCTGCTAATGCTGAATCTTTTACCAGCCCCAGAAGCAATTGTGCCTTTCTCAGACATCTTGTTAGGCCCTGGCATCTACTCTCAGCACTTTTAAATGAAATGTCCCAGATGTTTAAGGCTTCTGAGATTACTAGTGAGTCATGTCAGCTGGGTATTCAGCCCTCTCCTTCCTTGGCTCATGTTGCTTTCTGATGAGAACAAACAGTGCATGGACCACTTTTTTTCTTTTTCAAGTTCTAGTACTAATAATCTGTCAGTAATTGTTTTCCATTCTGTTTCCCCTTTAGCCATCTATCTTTGCAAACGGACCATGCAGAACAAAGCTAGGCTGGAGCTGGCGGATTATGAAGCCGTAGGTACACTGCTGCTAGAGTTTAAAGCTGGGGGGTGTAGGGAGAGCTTTGCTTGCCAATTGAATGCTGCCATTTCGTGCTTTGGGGCCAGCCTTTACTGTGTCTTTTTTTAGTTGTCAGAGCTGTGTGAAGGTTGTTCTGGAGACAACATCAGAAACATGACTGGGGAATGTCCCTGGCTTTGCAACATCTCAAATTAAAGCATCTGCTGTATAGCCAGCACTCCAAGATTGGGGAAATTTACCTTGGTTTCCTGTTTCCAGTTAATAGTTCCTGGTTTATATAGCAGATATTAACGCATGGAAAGGATGGATTTTCAGGTGCGTTATTGGGCAATTAAATTGCTGATGAACCATCTAGTTACAAAAGTTTTCAGGTATTAGACTTGAACTGTTTTCAGTATGCTGTATAAAAAACTATTACTCAAGCTTATTCAGGGTGTGTTTTCTGTTGTGAAATTATTGTCCATAAAAGTATCCCCAACCTTGTCATCAGATTGTGCAGTATTTGGGTGGAGAGTGGTGTGGGGAAGATGGAGGCAGGAGATGCAGGGCTGGTGTGAGTTTCTTTGAATACCAGCAGTGTAATGCTCTGACCAGCTGAACTTTTCTTTCTATCACATTGGCTTTCTCTTTGTTTATTAGTTCAAAAGTGTAACAGCTGAATTTCAAATTTGGAGTCTTTTGTTGGAGAGTTCGTTTACAAAGCTGGTTCTAGTGGACTTCTGTGTTCATGTTTATTACAGTGAAAACATATTGCATATACTTCAGAGTTTTTTCAAAGAATGGACTTTTTCCTTCTTCCTTGCCTTCTACATTTTGGGACTTTGGTGCACATGGATACATATGCATGTCATTTGGTCCTTTCAGTGAGGAACGTGCAAAAATTGCTACTTGTCTAGTCCACCCTGGCAATGCATCTGGTGTTACTGAGAGTTCTAATCTTGAAGTACAGGCATAAAGGAAGGAAAATAATAATCTGCATGCACTTACACATCCTTTTGCTGAGTTTTCTCTTCTGCATGTTACCGATTTCATTATTAAAGCCATTAAAATTGCTCACAGCCAACCAATTAGCTGTAAGTACTCTACAGATCTATCATAAAGCAACAAAAGGCTGTTCAGCAGCACGCACACTCCCACACACATGCAGCGAGGCTATGGCTAAATACTTTTGCACATCGTTGTCTACTGAGAGTAGCAATGCTCCAGTGATGGCAAATAATTAGATCTTGGCAGTCTCTCATTTTTCTTGTGAATATTGTATTGCACAATTAGAGATTACTCCAGCATTCGAACTTTGTTCTCTTAATTAGAGACAATCAGATAAGAGTGGCACTGACTCCTCCTATTCGTTACGGGAGCTGAAGCAGATCCAGCAATGGAGCTGTTAGCTAAGCACAAGTGAGAGATACAGACTTACGGGAGTAGGAAGGAGCCCTGTATGTTTAATACACATTTTTGGAGATGTAGCATGAGAATGGATCTCCATAGGCATCAGCACTGACCTGGAGTTTCCAAAGAGAATCTCTACAAAGCATCTCAGGGGACATCTCATTTTTAGGTTCTGCTTGCAGCATTCGTAGACAACCTCCCACCCCGCATTTATACTGGTAGAGCAGGGGTCTTGATTATATGATTAAGCTTGCATAATTGCATTCAATTTTGTTTATAATTGGCCAAACATAAGCACGATTCAAATATTGCTTCAACTAGTGATGTTTCATTGGCTTCAGCATATTTAGTCCCGAGGGCACATGTGAACATAATTTAAAACAAAATAAAAAATAAAAAGAAACCCACAAAAATTGTTTTTGCAAATAATTACAAGTAGTTCTTCCTTGTAGCCACAGTTAAGGAAATCATCACAGTTCAGCACAGCTGTAAATCATTTGCTTAACTGTTTTCCTCCATGTATACGGACTGAAACTCTTGGTGGACTTGGTGGTAACAGGGCCAAGCTTTATGCCTTGTGTTATACAAGAGTTTAAAGTAAATAATAGGAAGATTTCTTCTAGGATTGAAATGCATGCACTTAAGCACTTTCTTGAAATAAAGGGAATTGGTATAAAAAGAATAGCAGTAGAACTAATAGTGTTCATTTTCAATGAAAATTTGGAACAGTTGAACCAGTTGTAATGGAGAAGAGCATCAGGTTAATGGTCTCGTAGGCCTCCCTGTCACGGTGGCTGTGGATATGTGAGTTCGGGGTGCCATTTGAGCTTGAAATTCTGGCCACATCCTGAGTTTGAGCTTGAGCTGTGATGAAGTCACATCCACCTCCGAATATTCAGATCACGATATCTCTGTAATGGGTCTGGACCAGAGCTCTTACTTCAGATGTAGAGCAAGGCTGTGTCTGGACCCAGTCTTTGCATTTAGCTACGTTCATTGTTCAGACAAACAAGCTATTTCCTTTTGTGAATCATCCTGGCAATCCCCAGCCTTCAGTGCTGTGCAGCTGCATAATGCTCTCAGCCGTGACCAGGACTGAGCAAGGCAAGGGATGCTCAGGCTTTGCACCTTAGCAAAAGCCTGAAGAGAAGAAAGCAGTGGGGGGAGGAAGGGAAAGTGGGGATGAGAGGGGAATGTGCAGGTGGCAGCCATCTGCTGTCAGAAATGAAAGTCAGCTTCCCAGAGATTCTCAGTGTTATCTTTTGGGAACAAGTCCATCATTATTTTCATAGTAGAGCTCAAGCTGTCCTAATCGCACTCCATTACTTATCCCTGACAGGGCCCTCTTGGCTGCAGCCCGAAATAATGTGTTACAGCCTTGCTTTGCCTGCAAGATAGTTCACCTGAAACCAACACTGACATTGTATCTTGAGTTTTTCAGCTTTAAAAAAAAAATGGAATAAAATAAACACCTGCCATGTAACTGTGCTCTTAAACAGTTGTAGTTACAGGGGTTAGTTGTTCTTACTATTTTCATCTTTTGTCAGGAAAACTTAGCAAGACTTCAGAGAGCATTTGCAAGAAAGTGGGAATTTATCTTCATGCAAGCTGAGGCCCAAGTGAAGTAAGTAATCCTGGAGCACTGAACTGCACCAGTATTTAGAGCTGTGAAGGGAAGTGGATTCTATACAGATAAAACTTCTTTGTCAAGGTGTTTACTGCAACTAAGCTCCGAAGGTGTTGGTGAATTTTGATCACTGGCAGACTTAGATACAATAGAGAACCAATTCTGAAGGTTTGTGCCAGAGTCTGAAAGATGGGGTTTATTATCTGTACGTGGAAATGTTGGTCAGGAACTCCTGAGCCTGGATTCACCATGGGAGCTTGGGCAATTCACTTCTGCCCATTCTTCACCTACTTTCGCGCAGTATTTTTGTTTTGTATAAATGGAAAGAACAGAACTTTGTCATCTGTGTTGTTCTATGCTTGTAAAGTATTTCGGAGTCTAAAAATGCTGCTGCTTCAAAGTGACTATAAGGGTGGTATTTACAGCAGACTTGATTTGGCTTTCTCATTTATACCAATCCTCAGTTGACTCCGTTGTACCTCTACTCTCTGCAGTCCAACTTGTGCTACTAAATTAGCATGGAACGTTGGGTACCACTTACGTGAAACTTACTCAGATTTAGTATTTGGGTTTTTCCTGTCTTCTGCTCGTACTTGAGGTCTACATTTTTTTTCTCATCTTCCCTTGTGAAAACAGTTTGAAGCCTTTTAATGTTTTGAGCATGTTTTCGTTATTGCTGCAAAATGGATATGGTCCAGAGTTTGTAGACTAGTGTCTACAAACAAGACTTTTTTTTGTTTGTAGACTACAAACTAGTGCCTAAAACTCAACACGTTCATTTTTGCATGTAGTTGTCACCCATGAAATGGAAAGCTTGGTGAAGATGGCACGTGAGAACACCAGTACTGATACTCTGTACCACTAGAAGGAATTTGCACTTTCAGCGTTAGATGCTAAAAAGTTAAGGAACATAATTTCTTGAGAGTGTCACTGAGGTATATGTCTCTATCTTAGATTAACCCTTTGGAATTTTGATTAATTTTTTGCTTAATAACATTGTAATTGTGCAATATTTAAGTATGTGGTAATTATCCTTTAAATTCCAAGGTAATTAAGAGATTATTTTTTTTTTTTCCGACAAGAATACCAGTGTTCTGTTTGGAAGAGAAAATTAGAAGTTAGGAGAGTGATTGTACTTTCACTTATGTAAAGGTTTCTTGCCAAGATGAAAAAAAAAAAAAAACCAAAACGCTAAGTCAAAACAAAATTGCGCATTCTGTCTACAACATACAATTATTACCTAAGAAAGAAATGTAAATATCGGATTCTTTATGTGATCACTATTGCTTATTCATCTTTTCTCCATTCTGTTTTCTTTGAAATGTAAGTGTGGACTGGCTGCTGTCAACCTTATGTGCTGGCTGGTTTCAACGTCTTGGTTCCCAGTTCATGTGATGGTTCAATCTTCAGGTTTCCAACAAGGCAAGGCTGGAATTCACACTGTAATTCACAGCCCTGACTTAACTGAAAAGGAAAATAAACCAAAAATACCTGAAAGCATTCCTCCTGCTTGTCTGCTCCGCCTTCCATGTCTTTGTTTGCACGCAGGATTTCCATTGCTATACCTACATTGCTCAAAAACCACAGCCATAGACCATCTGACTATGTTGTGTCTTCACAGTTTAAAATGTGAAATGCTGAGTTATCATTAGGTTCGGGGACATGAGCCGAGAACCCGGGTTGAGCACAAAGTACCCATGAAGACAATTCATAAAGCCTCTGAGGAGTCCCTGCAGTCTGTGTGTGCTGTGTGGCGTGAGGCTGGCAGAAGACTTCACTTTCCCCTTTAGCTGAGCATGAAGGACTCACTCAGAAAAAGTGGTTTTGGGCTGGGTGTCTGCGTGCATAGCTCAGCACAGTACAGTGACTGCTGTCTGGCGGCTGCTCTGTCTTGGTGCGGGGACAGAGCTGGTGCAGAGCTGGTTTCTTGTCTTAGCCTTGTAGGGGGAATATTCAAAGAGTGATACCAAACTATGGAGAACTTGGGTTTTTTGTGGGGAGGGATGTTCAGAAACTTCAGTTTCAGTCCCGTGTTTCCTATCCCCTTGGTATATTTCTAGCACAGCCTTAGCTGAAGATCACTGCCCCTCCAAAAGAAAAACAGGAGGGTGAGAACCTGATGGTCAGAAATCCCATCTGGCATGGGGTTTTTTTTTTCCGTCACTGCTTTGGTTTTCCTAGGTGGCAGCAATGTGGGAACCCAGCACAGGGCCACTGTCAGCTTTTCAGTCCTGCTCTGGAGGCAGAGGCAGTTCCTCCTGCCCTGTGCCTCATCCAGTTTCTCTGCAGCCACTGGTGACTTTACTGTGCTTGCGTGTAGAGCTGAGCACAGGAGGGAGGCAGCAGTCATGAATTGCTCAATGCTGACAGGAGACAGGGGAGCAGTTGCTTTGAACAGCCTCCGGTGGCCTTTGTGTGTGCTTTGAGTTAGTCGACTCAGTGGCTGCATCAGGGCTGAAATTTCTGAGTTACCGTTGTGCCAGCCCAGTCGTGTGTCTCTTGGATGAGTGAATACTGGCTTGCACAGGGCCATGCAGATAGCTCAGCTCTGGTCATCTGTGCTGTCACCCCTTGCTCTGCCAACACTGGGGCATGTGGGCAGAGCTGGTCTTAGGGTTAAAAGCTCTAGGGAAGGGTGGCCACAAGTGTTGCCCATTCCCTGTTGCTGCTGGGAATGCCTGGGATAGCTGCCCCTTTGCAGTCTGTGGTCGCGCCAGTGGTGCCATGGAGCCTCCCGATGTGGGCCACTGGCTGAGAGCTTCAACTGGAGTAAAAAGGTCCCGGTGGGTCTCCTGACAGAACCAAAGCCATGAGCTTCCCCCCCTGTCAAATCAGGGTCTGGGAACAGAGCATCAGGAGAGGTTGTTTCCCTCACCAGGTGAAAAAACAGATGTTAAAATAAATTTTCCCCCTTAATAGGAAAATCTCTTTTGACACATACTGGAGTAAACTTCAGTGATGTTTTGTTCACGGGACATGACCTTGCAAGTGAGAGTGTGACATTGCTGTACAAAAAGGTGGATTTCTGAATTTTTTTGTCGTGGGGTTAAAAACCCCCAACTAGGAACTGTAACAAAGAAGAAAACATTACTTGTACATTGACTTATGTTTATGCTTTTGTTTTCAGAATCGACAGGAAAAAGGATAAAACAGAAAGAAAGATTTTGGACAGCCAGGAAAGAGCATTCTGGGATGTGCACAGGCCTGTGGTAAAGCTCTTTTTGAATGATGAGTCTTCCTAGGATTTGACAGGAAAGTTTTAATACTAGTAAACACTGTGCCGTGCACGAAGATAATTGCCTTTGAAGTCATGTGGATTTTTGTCGCAGTTCAAAACACAGCAAATGTCTACAAGATTATTTTAGACATTCTAGGCTTGCGCGTGCATGGATAGATTGTGGATGCATGATTTGGAAATACATGATAAATGTGAAGTTTGGAAGATTATTTATTGTCTGTATGAAAGAAAAGCAGCTTACCCAGTTTGGCTCAGACTTCCTAGAAAAATCTCCCCTCTTAGCTGAGATATTTCCTTTTAGTGCCAAAGTTATGAGTAAATGGATTGGATGTTGAGATGCCAACTTTGGGTATATGCAGCCTCTTGTTTAGCAAAGGTAATTTGCTAACTGCAGGAAAGAATTTTGGACAAGATTTAACTGTGTGTTTTAGAAAGGTACGGTAGCATGAAGTTTGTAAACAGAGGAGTAACACAATTACTGTCTCTTTTCAGCCGGGCTGTGTGAACACCACGGAAATGGACATTAGAAAGTGTCGTCGTATGAAAAACCCACAGAAGGTGAAAAAGGTCAGTTTGAGTACCCGGTTTTGTTTTTTGTTTGTTTGGGGTTTTTGGGTGTGGGGTTTTTTTATGCAAATCACACTTGACGTCTACAGTATATCAGACTTGCCCAATGGGAACCAAAAAAAGTGTTTTGCAAATATCAGTTCTGTTTTGTTCTAATTGGTGAATTTACTATTCCCGTTTTACCAGCAGAGCGGTACAGACTGGGTGATGGGTAGAGCTGAGAAAGGGCATTAAGGAGCTCTGGGTCCCAGATGTCTGCTGGCTCTGTGCTCCCGTAAAATTAAAAGCAATTGGCAAAAGTACCTAGGTCCCATTTTAAGAAATTATTTGGGCATGGATTTTTCAGAGCTGTTTACCCACTTTGAAGGCCAGATCATTAGCATCGTGGGTGTCTTTGACTTCCAGCAAGTTTTAGCTCTTCTGACTATATAGAATCATAGAAACATTTAGGTTGGAAAAGACCCTCAAGATCATTGAGTCCAACCGTAAGCCGAACACTGCCGAGTCCACCACTAGACCGTGTCGCTAAGTGCCATGTCTATGCGTCTTTTAAATACCTCAGGGATGGTGACTCCACCACTTCCCTGGGCAGCCTGTCCCAGTGCTTGATAACCCTTTCAGTGAAGATATTTTTCCTAAAATCCAATCTAAACCTCCCCTGGCACAACTTGAGGCTGTTTCCTCTTAGCCTATCCCTTGTTACCTGTTTTGGAGGGGACACCAGTTCCAAGTTCAGACTCCTGAACTTCCCTTGGTAGTTAGATTGCAGCAGAGCTATTCACGTGTCTCTTATGATTTTTAAATAAAAAGCAAAAGCACTAAATGGAAGGGTAACTGATGTTACTTATAAGTCAATCTGCAGGTTTTTGTTTAGAGAGGTTCACATGAACTTGATTCATTGATGCCTGGTTAAGCACTTTCTTCAATGAGTAGTTTTACAACAAGAAATTAAACTAAATGAAAGAAAATGGCATAGGATTAGGTTCTAGTCTTTTCTTTCTCTGCTTGGCTCACTACAGTGACTACTCCCAGTGTTCACCCTGCAAGTGTTGACACACACAGCCTTCAGAGCTCCTAAAAGTTATCAGCTGCATTTTAACATTTAAAATAAACTCTTTTCTTAACATGCCTGCAGGCCTTCCAAGTGCAGGCATCTGCAAGCACTGTCTGATCTGTAAATTTTGCTCCAGGCTGAATGATTATTGACCTGTGTGGATATAAACAGTAGGAAATTTCTGGCTTGTTACCTTACTGCTTTGCATACTGCACTTTTCCTCATTGCATAACAGAGAAAAATGCCGTAATCTCTTCTGTTTGTTTATTGATTCCTCACAGTCAGTGTACGGGGTGACAGAAGAATCTCAGCCCCAAAGCCCTGTGCACGTGCCCTCCCAACCTGTACGCAAAACTACAAAAGAGGATTTCCGGAAACAAGTAAGTAGATGGCTATATGGCAACTTTTCTGAGAACTGTTATCTGCAAAAAGAATTTTTAAAAAAGCATATAAAGTTACTGAGATATCAGCAAAACTAATTGTATGCTTTACCTGTCCTTGATCGTTACGTACAGGTTGTAAAGTAGTAAGTATTTAAAGATAGATATATATGTATATGTTTGTTGAGCAGTGCAGTTGTATGATGATATGTATTGCGGGTAATAGTGACCTTTGAATCTGCTATTATTCTGCCTGTGGACCAGTAGAGAGACTAATTTCCAGTTCACTGAGGATGTCTGAAAAGTGGGCGGTGAACAAAGGCTAGGGAAGAAGCCAGCATACTGGGGCATAGGCTGGGGGACAGGTGGTGAGGAAAGGCATCGTTCAATGCATGACTGTTAGAGTGTACAGTCAGAGATTTTAGGGAACTAGGAAAAAGTTATTTGCACCATTGCTTCAAAGAATGGCCAGCCAACTCACACATCCTTGCCCTGGCACGGGGAGCTCTCTCTTGCAATTACTTTCCTGCAACAAGCAGAACTCACTGAAGTACAGGCAGGAATTACCGGCTCAGCATTTTAGTAAAGGCAGCTTTAAACATGTTTCTTAGGCAATCGCTTTTAGGGCGGTCTTCTGAACTAAACCCAAACACTAAATTTCTTGAGCTTTTTCCATCATAGGCAACATAGGCTGCAGAGTACTGTGAAGAACCAGTTCATAACAGAGAGCAGATGTGCTGTAAAACCGTTATTGGTCTTGTGATGCCAGTCAGAGAAATGGAAGAGAGGAGTGTGGTGCAAAAAGGGGATCATATTGCACACTGAGTAGTCTGGGAACCTCAGCCCCAAATATGTGCCTTTCCTACTTTTAATTATGTCTTCTGAAGCTTCCCCTGGGGCTTTGCCATAGGAAATGGAGACTCCTGTTGGAAGCAGTTAATAAGCTGCTTCTTAATACCTAGGGAAAGGTCCCATTTCCTTCTGAGTAAGCTGTTTGGAAAGAAAAGTCAATAGTTTGTTGGGATATGATCAATGAATGCTGTAGAGCTGATGGATTGTTAATGTCCTTGTCATCTCTCTCCTCAGATAACTTTTCTGAACGTGCAGATAGAGAGACATTGTTTAAAGATGTCCAAAGTAGCAGAAAGGTGAGTGTCCCCGTTTGCATGATTTCCCATTCTTTCCTCATCTCCAGTTTGGCATTTCCAGAAACAGAGGGCAGGCAGGAACACACAAAGGCTGATCCCTTTTCTGTGTATCAATCCTTCCCGCTCCTTGAGCGGCCATACTGCCTGTCTGCTGACCACTAACACTTCTGTACTCGCTCTTCTGCTACTGAGAAAAAGTAGATGAAAAATGAGGATGCTGTCATACTATGAAAGCAAAAGAAATGTTATTCACAAAAGAACGAACTCTTGCAGTACTTTTGTTTCCTACCCCTTCACAGCCCTGGAGTTTATTTACAGAAAAGTCATTCCTGTTTCTATTTGAAAATACTCCTTTTTCTTTTGTGGGTGAACTCTCAGTGCTCATCTCTTGTTAGTCTGGCACAGCTCTGGGGAAGGAACTGCGTTTGCTTGTTGTTGCACGTGGTGTTCATGTCCGTGTTCATACTGGGGTTGCAGGGCCAGTTTCTGCTCCCACATATATATATATGAAATGCTTTGCGAAAGTACTGGGGTTGTACCTGGACTACTCGAGGCAGTGTTTTAAGAGGTGGATTTCTCATAGGGGCAAGTCAAGGCACAATTTGACTTGCAGAATATTTAGTTCTGGTAGGAAAGTATGAGCAGGTAAAGACCAAGCTCAGATTTAATTGAGAATGACAGCTCCTTTACTTAGATACTTGTAAGTTATGCACATTTGCAGGGGAATCACCGAGACAAATGTAGGGATCGACATGCTCTTCAGGAACACCACTTTTAAAACAAAACTGTGTTGAACATGAGGGACATAAGGGCTGGTGCCTTGTAGAGAAATAATAGAGGAATTTTTATTTAAGCAAATAAAAAAGACATTACCCTATGAAATGTGCTCTGTGGTGCCTGCACCTGTAATTTGCATATGTGTACTAAACTAGGCAAATTAAATGGCTAGAGCCCCAAAGTAAGTTCCTATTAGCTCATAAAGTTTAACAATTAAAATGAAAATTTATCCAATTAAATAGAAAATATTCAGAGGCAACCTGAAATCCTGCATACACTATATTGTGCAATTGAAATTAGTGCATTCATATTTATGTTTTGGGCTTTCTAGTTCTCTTTTATTAAGATGATACATTTGTGCTTTACAAAAAAATGACATTTTGTACTGAATTTACTCACAATAACCATAATATACTGAGACAGTAATAATTTCCAGGCTGGTAATTTACAAGCAAGCAGATCTGTTTTACTTGAATTTTTTTCTAGGTAGGTATTTATTGAATGAAAATGGACTCAGTAGAGCTTGCTTACTTGTGAACACGGAATCCTGTCCACATTACGCAGCTGCTGTTCAAGTTCATAAGGAGCTACTGACATTATAAATGTAACATTGTCGATACCAAAAAACCCGATTAGTTTTCAGTGACACTGGACAGAAAAATAAATTTCCTGGTTTGAAAGAGGTTTCAGCTTTTTTTTTTTTTTGGATTGGTCCCAAATTGGAGAAGAAAATGTTGCTATGAAAACCTGTGCAAATTGATAACCAGGAGAAAAGTAAATAAAATGAGAACTATCAAGAAGTTCTTTTCTCCTGTTTTGAAAGTTTCATTTTGAAATTATAAAGAATTAAGATGATGATTGTGATATTTATATCTTGTGAAGAAGTGTTTGGTTATGTGATGGCTTCGGGTGACAGCATTGCTGGAGGGGTCCCAGGGCTTGGTGCAGAGAGGGGTGGGAAGTGCAGCCTGGATGTGGAGCGTCAAGGAGCGTGCGGGAGGGAAGTAGAGGGGCTGATGAGCCCAGTGGCTTGGCAGTGGTGGGGATGAGTGAGGAGGAATGAATGCGGATGACCTGAGTTGAATGATTGACTGAAATAAAAACCTGTGCAGCTTGAAAGCCCGATGTAAAACGCTGAATACAAACACTGGGAACAAATCTGCTGCTTAAGGAGGTGCCATTATTAGCAAGTCACTTTTCTGGCTGGACCCAGCTTTCGGGACTAGTTTAAGTTGACTGTGTGGCGGATCAGGGTGCAGGAGACCACTTCTTGGCACGCTCCCTTTGCCAGCCAAGCTTGACAGCGGCATCGCCTGCCATTTTTTCAGTACAGCTCAAAGGCACTTTTGGGTAGGACAAGGGAAGTAATGAGGAGCAAATAAGGCAGAGGGTGGTGGGAGAAACAAACTGCTGTCTAATCTTTATAGGAAGAAGATATAAATTATTTTAATAGTGATAGACTAATCGCATATATTTTCCATTAATGCATGCTCTTCTATGGGATAGCCTTGTCCAGCAGAAGAGGTATGGAAAGGCTCTCAAAAGTTTATCACCAGCTCCCATTAAATAAATGCCCACTACTAAAGATTTTCTTCCCCCTTCTCCCTGTGCCCCTTCCAGGAGTAGATCTATACCAACTGTGGGAGCAGGCATCCCTCAGCTGCTCCAGGCACCTTGGAAACAGTTTTCTTCTGATTTCTTCCACATCCTTTCTCCCCACTTGGGACCTGCACACTGTCAGGTTTAGATTTGACTGGCAATGAGATTTGAGATCTGTTGACCAAAATTATCAGTATATTCTGCCTACTGTTTTCCCTGACTGCATCATGTAGTTATTACAATCCCAGTAGATGTGGCATCACAGAAATGGCTGGGGAAAATTGGAGCATCTTCCTACCAGAAGCAATCTCAGCTCCCCAGATGAAAATCTGTGCTATCCTCTCAGCTCCTCAAAGTTACTGTGAAGGCTCGGCAGGGACACCTGATTGCCAGACAGTTGGGTTCTCAAGGCAAGCTCTGCACCCTTCAGTGAACTCTTCCCACCACCTCTTCTACCAGAATTACAGTGCGTCACTTGAACAGCCATAAGTCCCGGTTTGCATTGTGACAGAAATGCTTTCCTTTAGGAGACCCCCGCCTGTAGCCTCCTTTAGACAATGAGGCAATGATTCCACTGCTGTCATTACACTGAATCAGCAAAATGTGCTTAGCAATTCCCCCTTGTTTCATTTCCCCCCCCCCCCCCCCTTTTATTTTCACTAGTACTTGTACTAGGACCTCTGATGCCTTATTATTTTATTAGGAGCAATTCAAGTTTCACAGCAGATACCTCCTGATTGATCCTTTTTGTTGTGTGGTTTTTTTTGCTTCTTAACCAACCCTTTCTCTCATTGATATCTCAGGGATTGCTGCTGCTCTCTGAAATTGGACGCTGCTCCCTCCTCCAACCCTTGACCCACAGCAGTCATGAAATGTAATTAATGAAATGAGATGAGACAGCCCTGAGTGCCCTGAGGGGCAATGGGGACCTGCTGTGATTACAAAAGTGTATGATTTTAATGCCTCATGATAAGAGCGAGGACAAACAAAAAGAAATAATTACTGTAGAGCAGGTCAGGCAAACTTTCTGCCCTTTGTGACCCTTTGTTTCACAAGGCCTTTTCATTCTCCTGCCTTTTTGAGATGTGGAAGACCAGAGGTAAAGTTTAGCGTGGACAATCGTGGTGTAAGTAGATTAGTAGTTCAGTATGATGAGACTCAATTAACTGAGTTAATTACTTGGCGGACTTAGGCAAAAAAATTAAAAAGTACCTTAGAGTATTTCCAATATAGACTAGGAAAAATTTCTTTTCATTTATTTCGTATATGCTGTCTTTCTTTTGTAAAATGTGCCCCTAGCACCAACCCCAGTGGAATTCCTGAATCACTTACACAAGCAGACACAGTCCTTTTCCCAGGAAGCTCTTTGAATCTCATCCTAGTGAGGACTAGAGGCTGTATGTCTTATCTGACTCATCATGGAGCAAGCCAGTATAAAGGCCAGGTGTTTTTCCAACATGCATATAATTTACTACATTCTAGGTTAATTATAAACTACTGTTGAAGTATTTTACAGTAGTGCCATTAGACTAAATGGTATACCAACATAACTAAAGAATGATCTACAACCCAAAGCTCTGATGCTCACGACTGTGATCCTTCAAAGATTTAAGCGTATTCTTAGCTACAGCACATGAGACTATTCAGATGAGTTACTTGTAACACATAAGTGAGTGCAAAAGTCTGCAAAAACCAAAAGGGCAGGAGGCAATAGCAACATGCAACAAATGAACAGGAGGACATGTGCTGCATAGTCATCCCGTGGCGCTCTGGGGGAAGTCCTACCATGGCAATCCAGTTGTTGCCTCATCGAGCTTTTTATGGGCGTCTCAACAGAGATGAGCTTGAGGAAAATACTGCGGTGAGCTGGTGCATGTTTGCAGTGAAGTCCTTGTATGCACCATCCCTGGGAAAAGGGACTCCTGTGGTTGCTGGGAAATGGACTAATCCCTACAAAGATAGGGAGACACACAAAGAAATAAAATTAAAAAAAAAAGAAAAGCTGTACCTCTCTGTCATGTGGCTGAACACTCAGGCCCTGATTCTTTTTTTCTTTTTCTTTTCTTTTTGATATCTGTCAGTTTAATAGCCTACACAGAGCAGTATGTGGAATATGACCCCTTTATAACTCCTGCTGAGCCTTCCAATCCCTGGATAAGTGATGATGCAGCATTGTGGGACATTGAAATGAGGTAAGAATTGGTAGTTTTAAGTAATGTTAGAGATGTCTTGACATTTTGTTTGTATGCTCTTCCCACTGCCCTGTTTGGATAGGAAGTTTTATGTCTGTAACTTTACAAGATACAAGTACATAGCTGAAGTTTAAAGAGGAGCTTATGCTTTATCGCTTCTTGAATTATTCAGCCCTTCCACTTCCATATGACTTCATGTGTAGTACTCTGTAAGTCAGGCAACAGATGTTCTCATGCCTATCAAGGATATGCACAGACTCAGGTCCAAGAGTCCACAGATAGAGGATACTGCCAAGAGATACTTGTTCCAGCAGATCTCCTTTGATCCTTGAGAGCCTGCTCTCTGGTCCTCCCCCAACCCTGCTCCTGTCCTGAGATCCCATGGAAGATGCTGCTGGCAGACTTGCATGGGTTATAAAGCCGTGGCTGTTCCAGCTGTGCGGAGGTGGATTTGGCACAGAAGCTAGAGGAGTGTAGCTCTCGCGTAAGGTGTGAGACTTGGCAGGTCAGAATTATAATAGATTGACAAAGTGAGTTTGGGCCTCACCTGTTAGCGAGCAAGCTGGCTTGTCTCTGTTAGTGTCTAATAGATGAAAAGGAGGAGGAATGACTGTAGGACCTCGAATGCCTTGCACCTCAGAGCGTTTCTCCAAAAAGACAAGCACAGCACTGCAATTCCGATCATCTTTTGCCCATGTGACGCTGATGCAAGGGAAGTCTGGCCAGTGTCTACGTCTCCTGCCATCATAGACTATCCACAGCCCTCGTAGTGGGGCTAGGACTGTCCTGCCTGCTTCTGTGCCTAGCAGCTATCTCAGCACGTTTGAATGGAATCATTATGCCACGTATCACCTTCACTGCTCACATACTGTGGCCAACTACTGCAGGTGCCCAGCAGCTTCTTCTAGTGTTTAGCTGCTGCTGTCCAGCACCAAATCTGAACTGGGAGTTCACTTTGGCAAGTCTTTGAAAAGAGAATGCTAAATCTAATCCTGTCTGTTCTTGAATAATAATGTGAAGTTTAAGATGCTACCAGCCTAAGGAAGTGAATCAGTGTTCCAGGAAAAGGGCAAATTTTTTCCATGTTCAAAAACCACGTGGTTCACATGGGATGTGAAAGATGTTTTCACCTACTTCTCTGGTGGTCACAGAAATCCTTTAGTTCCCTTATCTCTGCCCCTCTTCACATAATTTTAATATTTTGGTTTTCCTGTTTAGTCAGCTTCTCTCAATTTCTCCATCCTCCTTAGCAGGGCTAGAACCAGATACAGCCCCTGCAAAATACTTCTCTGGAGGAACCCCTACCCACAAGGTAATCCAGGCATCCATTATTTCTGCATCTGTTGAGGTAGCTGCAAATCCCAGAAAAGATGTCTGTGTCCCTGAAGAGTACAATTAACCTGATGTCACGACCTTTATAGGAATTTGAAATAAATGCTTGGCTTCTGCTATGATTTCAGAGTTAAGGAAGGTGAGTCTCCTGCTGATGAAAAAGAGAAAGTTGTATTGTTGGGAGATGGAAGAACAAACAGCTCTGTATTTCCATTTTATTCTCTATTGTAAGAGAACTCACTGCATCTGCATCTAGTTGCAACTTGCATGAATAATTAAATGATCCCTGAGATCCCCTTGTGTTGCCTGCAAAGCTGTTTCCTCAGTTAGGAGAGCAGAGCCCTTGCTCAGGAAAACAAAGAGCCTCTCACTTCTAATGGTAAGGCCAGCTGCTGAGCATGGACAGCCCTGTGCCACTACAGTTCATCCTTCGCGGCACTCGGGGCTCAGGAAACACCACGGAAAACCTTCAGTTTGAGACCACACTTTGGTCTTTTTGTTCGTGCTAGAACATTGTGCAGCAGCAAGAAGAGCAGCTACAGATCT